GGTGGACGACGGTCTTTTCAGAGTTTTCAATTCTCTCTGAAGCTTCAAGTCACTCCTCTCATGTGAGGGGTGAGACTCTATTTATATTATTTTGAGTGTAATTAATGCATGAATATGAATCATTTTGATCAGACGGTCCGGAGAGCTTCCTCCGATAAGACCGCATTTAATGGACATTTGAGTGGCTTAACGAAGTCGGAATTGCACAATCTTAGGCTCGTTGGGTTCGTCTTGTTGAGATGCTCGATTCGACTATGAACTCGCTGAATTCGACATTTGTTTGATCTTTCAAATATGTCCGGAATCTTCCTAGAACGATTTAATCGCTTGATCTGGGTTTGATTTGACTCGGATTCGACTAACATTGATATCATTTGGTCATTCTCATCAAGTCAGTCAATTTAACTACAAATTTACTGAAATCGGAGCTCTGGATGACTTTTTATTCATATCTGAATATTCATTGCTCTAAAATTATATCAAGATTCATATCGGATGATGAAAATTTGTTGGTGGCGTATCAATACTTTTTAGAAAGATTTACATGTATGGCAATTGATTCTTATATATTTACATCTCTATGACCTAAGGTTCAATTTTAAATACATACTCCCTTACTAGTGCATGAAAAGGTGTAATTAATTTTTTTAAGGTTAAAATGTTAATAATTTGTATGTAATATGACAATTTTGGCGGTAAAATTAAAATTAAAAAAAATTAAATGTTGGATACGTACTCACTGGAATTATGGTATGCATATAAATGCCCCTAATTTATAATTAAATTTAAAATTACATATTTCTACTATTTTATGGATAAAAGAACTTAGAATTTAGTTCATTCATCCAACCATTTGCATAATACTCTCATTGTAATCTCGTGAACTCATACATAAATTGAATAATTTTAATATTAGTGGTGATTTTTATATGATAAATAATATTAATTTTGTTCTTTTTATGTGGATGTTATACAAATTAATATTAAAGCTATGTATAAATGCGTAAGAATTTTTTGGCTATGGATCAGATTCCACCGAACTATCTTTTTGAGATTGCAATACACAGCCATACACTATAATTTACTTGCAATTTACCATTTCATGAGAAAATATCTGCAAGAAAATCCATTAATTTAGCCCAAAAAAAGAAAAATTACATTAATAGCACCCAATTCTTATGGATTTTTCAATCTCACATCCAAAATTTAATTTTTAAATTGTACTTTACCTGTGAAAGAAATGGTGAATTTAACTATTAAAAGATCATAATGAGCGCTACTTTTCATGAAAGTTTTGATGTAAAATAGGTAAATATAAAAGTTTCGGAGTGCTAAGTATGTAGAAGCCCCCACCAAAAAAAACAATTACAAATAAAAAGAGATGTCCTTTGGCATTACCGATTCAGCAAAAGTCGAAAAGAAACACGAGAAATAAAAAGGAAAATAATACACCCGCACCCGTTGATCTTTGTGTAAGTGTTAGGGCGTCCCTTCGAAGCGACGCGTTGTATAGTCTGAAAATAGTGAAAAGTATGCTAGGGCCGCTACACCCGCGCCCGAGTCCGAGTGTAGTGTCAAATAAGCAAGGGTTCCCACATTACGGACGGATGCGGGTAAAGAAATTAGTCCATAAAACTAATGAAAGCCCTCACCAAAAGAAAACAATACAAATAAAAAGAGATATCCTTTGGTATTACCAATTCAGCAAAAGTCGAAAAGAAACACGAATAAAAAAGAAAATAATACATACTGTCAGTTATAACTTCCGAACTGGTGGACCCAAATAGCATTTGCAGAATAAGCCAAAACCCTAGTAAAGGTAAGCCTAGAAGTTCTCATGCAGCTGCACCGGCACCCTTGCCTTTCTTCCTTTGAATCTTCTTCATATAGAACTCCAGCTCCTTCCCTTCCAGAATGTAACTGCAGAAGGAAGCAAAACATATTAATTCTACGACAATGGAATCCAGGGGCAATTACAAACATACCCACCCAATTCCTGTATTTACATATATCTAACACTTCAACTTTATTTTTTACATTAATAAAAACTAACATCTTTCATGTCACATCAAAAAAATATCACCAACTTCAACTCCTAAAAAGTGAAAATGAACCTTTTTATGCGTAGGCAAGGTGGCATGCAGGTAAAAACTTGAAGTTCAGGGGTTGGATATGTAAATACATAGGAATTGAGTGGTCTGTATGTAAATCTTCTTCGAATCTTCTAATGATAAAGATGAGGAGTTACCCGTCGGCACGGCCACACTGGCCAGGGCGAGATGAGATAGAGGCAAGAAGACGCCCACCGCCAAACTGCTCCTCAATGTGGGCATCAAGCTTGCGGGTCTCCTGCCTTTTCTCCAGCTTCCTTTGGATGTGGCTGCTCTTCTTTACCTCGTCCTGCGCAGCTTCGCCCTCTTGTCCCTACAAACAACATAGAAACAAACAGAAAGGTGTGAGAGCAGAGTATGAGATAATATTTTTGAGGGGTATACCCCATTAATGTAGTTGATGTCGGAGGATCGGAGAGAGTTCTTAATTTAAATCCATGTGCTGATCATAATAAAGCATGGATTTAGCATATTAGAAAACAGTGAAGCGATGACTCTGCCTTCCTCACCAATTTATAAAAGAAAAATTTACACACATACAAAACAATTCTTTTGTAATTACATATCTAACACCTACACTTCAATTTTTACATATGCCCCCTGCCTTACCTATACATTTACAGGTGTATTTAACATTATTAATAGTTAAAATAGTGATATAAAATATTTCGGTGGTATAAATGTAAAAGATAAAATTTTGGTGTTAGATATGTAGATATATAACAATTGGATGGTATTTATGTAAATGCCTTTTCATAAAAAAGGGGGAAATTTGAGAGACACATTTTGTTCTTGTGTATTTATAATTGAGATGCTCGTGTGGCTATAAAAGAGTGGATGCAGTTTTTAAATCAAATGATGAATATATTAAGAAAATCGAAGGCAATATAACCTTCCTGTGTGGAATATCAACAATGAAAAAGTCGGTTCTAATTTATATATGAAAAGAGAGCAAATGATATAAAATTAGCAATGAGAACAGTGCGAAGGTTTCATGAAACTCCACATAACCTTCTTATGTTCAATATTTTATCCTAATACTATTGCAGACATTAGGAACATGATGTTTTAATTATAAATATATTTAGTTTCTTCGGAATGAGACTTGATTTTCTAATATGATGATTTGCTTTTTTTCTCATCCAAGATAGTTTTGCTAATATTATTGAATTATCAATAAACTACTCATTCATTTTTTATGAGCTGAGAAACTTAAAACATAACTTAAGCCGCGCTATATGCTCTGTGAGCTATTTGATATTAACAAATATGATATATCCATGTTAACATAATACACAATTAATAATGGAATTAAACATGTCAACTCATTACATGCAAAGAAAAAGCCACACGAGCTTTTCAACTTTTGCGCACCCCGCAATTGCAATAATTACCAACAATAAGAAAAGGATGATTGTCTCCTGGACATGTGTAATGTAGCAATTATATTAAAAAGAGAACAGAGATGAGGGATTGGAATAGCAAGAAACGATTGGCACTCCAATAATTCATGAATAACATTCCGATTCTACAATTATAGAAAAATCAAACCAAATGTGTAAGAAACCATCAGAAGTGGCATGTGGAGTGCCATATGATTGACTGCTGATATGCATCTAATCCTCTACACTGCTAGAATGATAACATCCTTCAAGGAATGAAAAATTATTAAATCTTAATAACTAAGAGGCCATTCGGGATCACTTCTATTTTTATTGTTTTTCGTTCAGTTTATGTTTTTATTTGAAACAACATTTTTAGTATGTTTGATTAAGATTTGACTGTTTTTTAAAACACCTAAAAGTTGTTTTAAGTGTTTTAAAAAACATGTTTATATGTTTTTAGAAATAAAAATTAAAAAAAACACACACTAAACAAGCACATTTTTTAAAACAAAAATAGAAATAAAAAACAGAACTGATCGCAAACAACCCCCAAGATTTTCATTTCATATGGATGGGGTAATTTTTAAACATCACACAATTTGTTGAAGTAAAGCATGCAGAGCATAAACAATAGAAAAAGCACTCAGCTAGGCCAACAATAACATAGAAATAAGTTCATAGAAAAATATTAAAAAAGAATGTGGTAAATAATCAAATCATAAATATATATACATATATATTGTTTCAAGAAATTCTTAACCTGATTCAATACAAAAATTTCCCAGTAATAATGTTCCTATCATGAATTCCAATGTAAGCCTCAGACTATTGTTTAAACATTGCATCAACAGACACATATTTTTCTTCTCCCCCTCATCGTCATCATCCTTAGCATATCCTATGTATTTGCTATTGCATCATAAAAATACAGTTATTCATGCTGAATGTTTTCTAAGTTATTAAACCTATTATTTGCAAATTATTTTAACCTGATTACCCATATCCTTCCAAATGCCCGATAATAAGTTTATCAACTCATCCAGCAATATATTTTCCACACATGTGCATATGTCAAACTCTGTACGTTCATTTTTAATCACTTTATCATTATAATAATACTATATTATCTTTAATATAATTATTCGTTGATTTTTCTTTCTAGTTTGAACATATTCATGTCATCATTCTCATTTTTTGTCTCACTCAACTTAAAAATTAATGAATTTTCTACAGCCCAAGATAATGATGAATGCAACATCGACAAATTAATTTCAACCAATAAAATTTGGATTTAAGTCTCCATATTCACTCTGAAAGTTATAACATCATTTATATGTTCATTCTTTTACATATTAAATTCCAAGAGTCTTAAAACCCATCACACCAAGACATAAAAATTTCTTCTAATAATACAATTCTTAATATCATGCCAACTAAAATTCATTCACACATACTCAGTCTCTATTCTACCAACTTTAAGGCCTCAATCTTCTAAACATTTCCTCCATTGTTCTAATTTATCATTGATTCAATGGATGTATCACCAAGTTCAATTATAACATCTACAAAAAACATACCCCAAAACAAGTAGCTTATATCATTCAAAAGAATCAACATACACAATACAAAGAAAGTGACGATTTTGTGTTGATCCTTTATATAAACCTAAAGTAATTGAAAATACTTTTGTCACTCCTCGCTAACTTTTAACAATACTCCATCTTAAATAAATGTAATATAATCAACATATTGTCAGCACAAACATTTATGCTTTATATCACATCAAATCAATTATTTTGATACTCAATCATACATCTTCTTAAGATTAATAAAAAGGATAGGAAGATGCTTTCTTTGCTCTCTATGTTTCTCATTTAATTCTCTTGATGAAAAGATTGTTTTCATATAATTTTTTCTAACATGAAAACAGCAAAGTTGATGTAACATTTTCAGGCCTAGATTCTATTAAGCGGTCCCATTACTTCATTGTTTGACTGATTCGCTTCATATATAGTTAGTGTGATCTTACACATTGTCTTTGTTCTTAAATGGTAATGTAATTATTTGAATTCCTCTTAATTTTTAAAGTTCTATTAAAAAATTATTAACCAATTCACAGCAATATCCTCTATAACTATTTAGAATTCAATAAATATCCCATATAATCCAAATGTCTTACCTTGCATCTCTTTCAAAGCCAATTTAACTTCATTTTTTTTCAAATTAATCTATATTGTACATCATGCTCATCCAAATTTTTTTTCCCCTTAAAACACTCACTAATATCTTTATTTCTAACCAAGATCCTATAATCTTCATTTTTAATATATATAACTTGATCAAATTTTCTAAATCCCTTATCTAATATCTTGGCGATTCTATATATCTCTTTTTCTCCATCATATTCATTTTATCAAATAAATCATAGAAGTTATGATGTTTGCTTTGATCATTACCCCTCTACAAGAATCCTAATTTTCTTTCACTAATTAGGCTACAATAGCATTCAGCTTGTTTCATTTTCTAAAATCGCATTACTTTTTCTTAAGAATTATGTGTCACTCCCCACTTCACCCAGCCTATTTATCCACGTATGATCCATTTCTAATTTCTTCTAAAACTTCTACAAAAATCCTCATAATGAAACTAGTCATTTTATCCCATGAATTCTAAATTGACTATTGGTAAACTATCTCAAGAGCTTCTCACATTTCAAATTGCAGCACCTCATCCTACACATATAATTAGCTCCTGATAGAATAGCTTTCTCACTTGACAAGAAAACAATAAACTTGTATTTCAATCGACTACAAAATACTAGCCTAACAGTCACTAGCATATTAGTGATAGAAAAAAAAAAGAAAACTCTAATTTATTCATTATACTACAGCAATACTGAATAGCTTTACCAATTTCATGTAACAAAATTGCATTTGGTGATCCCTTTCACAAATAATCTACGTATCAGGAAATATATAAATGAAACGGTTAAACATCATCCACTATTGAATTATTCATTGTGTTAAAAGGTACAAAACATAAACCGACAAATAAAAAAAAAACTTAAAAGACATAACTTCCCTTTTTTATTTGTAATACTGAAATCCGCTAAAACAAAAAACTTAAAATGTAAAAGAGAAGCTAAAAAAATTCAAAATAATACAATTAAAGAGAATTAGTTAGTGAGATTCTTCAAGCAAAACAAGCTCATGAGCATGTTAAGTAAGCTTCACAAAGTTCGCAATGCAAGACAAAAGTGACTAGGAAATTAAAAATTGAACAACGATAACATGCCTGGCCTAGTTATACTGGTTTGAAACAACATTAGCTCAAATAATTAAATGAATGGCAACAAAAAATCATTGATGCTCAGAATTACACAACTTATTCGCTTATTAACTAAAGTCTCAAAACCAAGATTTTCTTCCTCGCAAACAATTTTACTTATCCATTAAGCTAGAAGTAAAACTATACTTGTAAATGGTGAAAAAAACATCAATAGTGCAAATGGATTGGTAAGCTCAGTGAATGCTTGTAGAAGCTCTTGCGTGAGATTTGCGGGTTGGGCAGAGTTAAGGCCAAGGGAGAGGGAGGCCTAAACAAACAAGATGGGGGAGTATCAAGGTTGATATTGAGAGAGAGAGGTTGAAATCCCGGATGCATATCCAATTTAATTCATAAATCAAAACACAAACCAAAAACTTAATTAAATTAAAATTAAATTAACAAATAATATATGCATACTATTAAAGTTAATTTCAAGCCCTAATCAAATATAGCATGCCACGGGAGTAATACACTATTACCCATAAATAGCTTATATTGCTTTAACCACCCATGCTGCGCTATGCAAATGGCACCAAAGGAGCACCAAATCGCACCATGGCACATGCCATTCAATGAAAGTCATGTATGAGTAAAACTGTAAATTAGCAAGGATGGATTGATATATGGCAATAAAATAGACACATGATGAGGCATTAAGATATAAAAAATGGTCTAAATGGTTTGGGCATCTATGGGGAAGGGTAAAAATGCACCATTAAATTAGTTAAAATAAATTTGGAATGATTAAGAAAACTAGAGTGTAGATAAAAAATTACATGAGTACAAGAATATGAGCTATGAAAAACTAAAAAACTTAAATAAATATAGTTATCAACTCATGCAGCAACTCAACCGACAACATGAACGTATCAACCAGTTGAAATAGAGGAAACAATGATGATAATAACGCCAAATTAGACCATGGAACCCTTCACCATATAAAATGTCAAATACACGAGTCAAAGCTTGGGCTCCACATGATAGCCATACTAGCAATAAATTAAATAATTATGTGAAAGAACTCTCACCTTTGGGAATTGCATGAATTAAGTGTGTAATTTTTACATCTTAAGCCATGAAACACCAAACATGACCTAAGCCACAATATTTCCTTTCAAGCGTTTGCAATTAAAGAAAAAAATAAAATTATGAAATCACAATCTATGGGAATATCTTTTGTGTGATTCTCGCAGCCAGCAAAAAAAAAAAAGCAATAGACTTGCAATGTCCACTAAAAGAGTTTCAAAATGAAATAAAAGTAATGCTATATAGCCTAATCACTGTACACGCCTAAATCATTTAACAATATAAAATTCAAAAAAATACTTTGATAAAGAGCTTAAACGGACCTTTGACAAAACAAACCAACCTGACAAAACACACAAAAGATGAAACTTTTTAAGAATTCAACAAACAAAGAAGCAACATTTTGCAAAAGAATTCTGCGGGAAAAAAACATAAAAGAGCATTTATGCAAAGAGGGGAAGAAAGATAATGTGACTTAAAAAGAAACATGAAGGAGATTCCACCTCAGTCGCATCCTTCTTGGTTGCAGCGGCGGCCTTCTTCTTCCTCCCAAGCTCAACCCCATAGTGCTGGAGGTACCACTGCTTGAAAGGGGTAGCATCAACCTGCACGATAGCACTCTTCACTAGAGTCTGCGTCCTCACGAGCTCATTGTTCGAGGCATTATAAACCACGTCGAGGATTCTAGTTTTGCGGGTGATAGCTTCGCTCCCCCATGAGTAATTTCCAGTATCCAAGCGAAGAGCTCTCCACTTGACGTTGCCTCCTCGAACTCGAACCCTCCTCACCGTCTTGTTGCTGGAAAGTTTGGTGTTGGCTGGCTGCCGACCCAGCTCGTACCTTAATTAGTTCAAAAGACAAACTCTTAATCAAGATCTATATAAAATCACGCTCACGGGGTTGAAGGAGCATAATTCATATACAAATTCTAAAAAAAAACACCGCCTAGCTCTGTTGATCCTCTTCACATATAGAATCAACCAATTTAACTATGAAATTGTTCAATTAAACAAAATATTTGATATAGAGTTGAAACTATGAAAAACCAACGGATTGGTAGGTCCCCATATCAAGAATTTTTTGGATGAGATGAAAAAAATATGAGTGGACGATACTTACTTTCTCTTCTTCCTCCAGGCCTTCTTCTTGCCGCCCGTAGCACGCCTCTTATGCAAGGAATCCCGAGAGATACCTGGTATACAAAGAAGAATACGCCGTGACTGAGAATTGAGCAGGCAGATCGAAAAGTTTTGAAGTCAAGGATGGATCATTACCCATTGTGACAAACCGAAAGAAATGACGACGCTTGCCTCTGCACTCCTAGGCCACCCGACCGCCTCCGTGCCTCTCTTACCCGCTCGTGAGCTACGCAGGATGAAACCCTAGGATCTATTTAAAGGCCCAAAGTTTGTGTGATCTATGATACGACAATTTGGAATAAGCAACTATATTATTACATATATTGGAAATGGCATCCTTTATTTTACATTTTTCTTCGTATTTTTGCATTAAATCATTACAGCACGTACATAAATTATAAAAATTGCGTTTGCCAATGATCATTTATTTTTTAACAAAAATTTATTCCTAAATTTGTAATAAATTTATAAATATGTTTTTTTTTTTTTTTGTATCTATACTATAAAATTAAATTTTAACTTTATTTAATTTCCATCAAAACATTTATTTAATTAAGTTATTATGATTTCTAGTAAATAATTTTAACACTTCATTTAAACCTTACATTTATTTAAGAAAGCTTTGGTCAACAACGAAACGAGTGCATTATATACTATTTACAGAGATTTAAAAATTCAAATATATGATCGAAAGAAAAATAAATGTGTTGTAAAATTCTAATGCATTTGAAATTCTCTTTCTAGTCAATGTATTTGAAATTCTTTGTATTTGGCCGAATTTCAAATACATTATTTTGTCTAAAGTGATACAACTGCCTACAACTGCCGTTATTCGACAACTACCACCTTTGACATCGGTCGTCTGCTAATTGTCGCCCCAAATGTGATTTGTTATTCATTGCCCCCACTATGTAGCAGTTATCGCCACTTGCCCCCCGGCCACCAACACTATCACCGATAGCCCCTGAGGCCAGCCCGCAGTGGTTGCTTGCCACCGCCAACCGCCGTCGCCACCATCCCCTCCCTCTGTTGTCGACTTTAACATATTTATCTTCCATTAAATTTAATTTTCTTTAAACGAAAAAATAAAATTCAAAATCCGATATTTATTTTACATTTAAACTAGTAACTAAAATTTAGCAAATACAATACATTACGTTGACAGTTTTTCCTTTTTCAACAAATCAACAAACCCCTTGTCAAAAAAAAAAAGAATTAATTGTAAAAATGGCAATTTAATTTGTCATTCATATTGGGGAGTAAAAATGCTGAGCTACATGTTAATGGAAGTTGAAGTAGAAGCATCCTTCAGTTCAATCTTCAAAAGACATTCGTTAGAGTATTGGTCTAAGATGCACAAGAGGTGGATTTTAGCCGACAATCCTTGTAGCAAGTAATAAATTTACTGGGCAAGGTTTGAGATATTGGCAAAAGATGATTGATTGTTGAAAGAAATTTGTATAAATATTTTCTTCTTCTTTCTTCTATCTACTTACACTTCTTCTTTTTGTCTCTTATAAACTTTCCTTTTCTCGAGTGCCATTATTAAGTAATCAATGATGTCAACCTCTACTTGGTTAGTAACTTCCTCCATAATAACTCGTTCCAAGTTGATCATATTTAGGCGGACTTCTAATGCAGAAACATCATCTTGGGATGTGAAAATGAATATTTTTATTGAAGCCAAATTGGTTGTGAAAGTTGACTCGTTGGGTGCAATAAGGGTGTCATGATTTGTGAAGGTGAAATGATGTTGAAGTATCTTTACAGAAGGGATTAAAGGAGTGGAGGACTAACATGAGAAATGAATCCTAAATCCATGCAATCTACACCTTCATACAACATTTTTATAGTAAGAGAAGTAGGCCTTCCATCATTTGAAAACTAAAGGGATGGGTCAATTATGAATACATATGAAGTTGCATAGTTGGCTCCATGTGGGGTTGGTAGACATGATGACTAGTAACTTATACGTTATAACTATGCATAATCATATATACTACAATCTGACGAGTTTTTCCTTTATTTGTTTTTTTTAATACATCCAAAACAAATTAGTAGTCAAGCATAAAAGGACGGTTAATTATCATGAGAATGTTCATAAGGAATACAAATATTGTAAAGTTTATTGAAGTAGGGAGAGAATTATTTGATGAATAAATACAGAGGCTAAGAAGCACGAGAGACTAAAAGTTAAGGAAACTAAATATTCTTTAAATGATAAATTATTTGATTAGAATGATAATTTCTTATCCCTGATGATGAAACAAATGGAAAAGCCATGACAAGAGCTCAAGTATGTATGTAAGGAAGGAAGCCCCTGAATCCAATATCTAGTCATAATTTTGCATTAACTCCCGACGACAGCCCCTGAATCCAATATCTAGTCATAATTTTGCATGAACTCCCGACGGCAAAATGTATGGAAGGAAGCCCCTGAATCCAATATCCAGTCATCAAAAGAACAGTGAACTGCCAAAAATAATGCATTATGTATTTCTTCAGTTACAAGATTAGCATCATCATTCTTCTTCTTCTTAGGATTCCTACAGTTCCTTTTTATGTGGCCAGCCTTGCCACAATTCCAACAGGTTGTCTGCTGACCAGACTTTGATTTTGATCTTCCTTTGTTTGAGTTCTTGTCATGTGATTCCCCTCTTCTTTTCATGTGATTCCCCTCAGGAATCAACATTCAGCGCCGAACTTGAACACGAGGCTTCGTCAGAATCCTTCCTATGATCTCGTCATAATCTTTCCTGCGCACCTCCTCAGCCAAAATCAAATAACGAATATCATAACATTTCATTTTAGATTTACATGCAAAACTACTAACAACCATCCTTATGACTTCCCAAATATTTGGCACGATGCCAACAATATCAGATCACGTATCTCATCATCAAAATCAATTTCAACAGACGATAATTGATTTGTGACAGTGTTGAAATCATTTAGATGTTGAACAACGGACACACCTTCCGTCATCTTCATGTTGAATAATTTTTTCATCAGATGCACCTTGTTATTCGTCGATGGCTTTTCATACATACCTGATAAAGCCGCCATGAGATCTGCAGTAGTTCTCTCCTTGATGATGTTGTGGGCAACCGATCTCGACAGGGTTAATCGTATAACCCGCAAAACCTGTTGATCCAACAGATTCCATTCCGCCTTGCCCATAACCCCCAGAACCTGTTGATCCAACAGATTCCATTCCGTCTTGCCCAACTTTTCTGGCCGCTTTCCCAGTAATGGAAGATGAAGTTTCTTCCCATAGAGGTAGTCATCTATCTGCATCCTCCAGTAAGCAAAATATATGTCATTGAACTTCTCGATCCTCGATGTCATCGCTTCGTCTCTGCCGATTGTTCTTCCTTAGATTTGAACTCAAGGCTCTGATTCGAGTTGTTGTGAAAAACGACGGCAATAAAGTGAAAAATAGAACGAGCAAAATTGCACACAGAAAAAACACCAGAGCGACACACAGATTTACGTGGTTCGGCAAATTTGCCTACGTCCACAGGGCTGCGGAGGATTTTACTACTTCGAAGAATTACATTGTCGAACGCCTCAATGTTTACAAAAAAATCTCTATTTTCTTCTCTCCCTTCCTCTCTCTTACTCTCTCTTCCTCTCTTTCTCTTAGCTCTCTCTTCCTCTCTTTCTCTTAGCCCTCAAGATGACTTGACTTGGCCTTGCTTGGCTTTCGTTTCCTTTAAACCAAAAGAGACTATTTATAGAAAATATGAGAGCGGTAAGTGAGAGGTAGGTGAGCGGTAGGTGGGTGTGGTAGGTGAGCGTTAGGAGACATACTTAATTAAGAAGCTAATTAAATTTGGTGGACTGGGTCTCCACATTACCCAACAGGTCTAAGATGCACAAGAGGTGGATTTTAGACGACAATCCTTGTAGCAAGTAATAAATTTACTGGGCAAGGTTTGAGATATTGGCAAAAGATGATTGATTGTTGAAAGAAATTTGTATAAATATTTTCTTCTTCTTTCTTCTATCTACTTACACTTCTTCTTTTTCTCTCTTATAAACTTTACTTTTCTTGATTGCCATTATTAAGTAATCAATGATGTCAACCTGTACTTGGTTAGTAACTTCCTCCATAATAACACGTTCCAAGATGATCATATTTAGGCGGAGTTCTAAGGCAGAAACATCATCTTGGGATGTGAAAATGAATATTATTATTGAAGCCAAATTGGTTATGAAAGTTGACTCGTTGGGTTCAATAAGGGTGTCATGATTTGTGAAGGTGAAATGATGTTGAAGTATCTTTACAGAAGGGATTAAAGGTGTGGAGGACTAACATGAGAAATGAATCCTAAATCCATGCGATCAACACATTCAAACAAGATCTTTATAGTAAGAAAAATAGGCCTTCCATCATTTGAAAACTAAAGGGATGGGTCAATTATGAATACATATGAAGTGGCTTAGTTGGCTCCATGTGGGGTTGGTAGACATGATGACTAGTAACTTATACGTTATAGCTATGCATAATCATTTATACTACAATGTGACAAGTTTTTCCTTTATTTGTTTTTTTTAATACATCCAAAACAAATTAGTAGTCAAGCATAAAAGGACGGTTAATTATCATGAGAATGTTCATAAGGAATACAAATATTGTAAAGTTTATTGAAGTAGGGAGAGAATTATTTGATGAATAAATACAGAGGCTAAGAAGCACGAGAGACTAAAAGTTAAGGAAACTAAGTATTCTTTAGATGATGAATTATTTGATTAGAATGATAATTTCTTATCCCTGATGATGAAACAAATAGAGAAGCCATGACAAGAGCTCAAGAATACGTCGAAGAGTCATGAATGTTTTAGCTCCAAATTTTATATACTCTCTAAAATTGTGAGCAATATTAGCAGAAGGAAAATGAATTGTATAGTATCATAAATAATTTTGAGTCACTATAGTGGTGTTTAAGTTAAACAAGAAGAATATCACATTCGAAATAAAGAACTATGGTGCTTGTTTATTCAAAATTGAGGTTTTATTAAGCATATATTGAGATTATAAAGATTATTTGAAGGCAAATTTAGCTCAAACTTTTGATGAAATAAGTTAATAAAAAAATATATCAACTATTATTAAAACTAAATCTTTAAGATACATTACCATTTAATCACTAATTGGTTAAACATTTTGGTGGGACAACTCATCCTAACATTAAAGTAAGTTGAATTATTCCAATTATTTTCAATTATAGATGAATATAATTATCGTTTTAGCGTTTGCACGAGGATTCAGCACAAACTCAGATGAAAGAGAAACAACCTGGGATGACACCATAAGTTTTTATGTGGAAAACCCGTAAAATGAAAAAAACCACGAGACCTGACTTAGTTATAAAACTCCATTATAAGTTTATGATTACATAGGAGCCTTGTCCCACAGACGAGAAAGTATTACTAGATTTTCTAAGTTACAATGTAGACTGAAGACGTTTGGTCAACGGTAGTCGTCGGTGATCGGCGGCGGTCGACGGAGGTCGGCATTGGTGGCTGACTATCGGTGGTGGTCGACGACAATCGACAATGGTAGGAAAGTTGTTGGACTTGAGCTCCTAAAGTTTTCTCTCCAGCCCCCTCTCATGTGAGGGGTGAGACTCTATTTATAGTGTTCTGGGTGCAATTAATGCAAAAATATGAATCATTTTGATCGGACGGTCTGGAGAGTTTCCCTCAATCAAATGGTGTTTGATGAACATCTGAGTGCCTTAACGATGTCAGAATTGAGCAATCTTTGCTTGTTGGATTTTACTTGTCGAGACGCTCAATTCGACTATGAACTCACTATGTGTTTGGAAATCTTCTAAGAGTGATTTAATGATTTGATATGGACTTGATCTGACTCGGATTGGACTAACTTTGATATCATTAGGTTCGTCTCATCGAGTCGGTCAGTTTAACTATAAGTTTGCTGAAATCGGAGCTCTGAATAACTTTTTATCAAGATTTTAATATTTCTTATTTAAAATATTGCCTCGAGATTCTTGTTGGATGATGAAAAATTTGTTGGTGACCTACCAATACTCAAGATAGCGATAATTTGAATGGGTAGGTGAGTAATAATACATTCTTAAATATTAACTTATTATTTTGATTTATTTTAAGGAGTCTCATGATTTACACTCAACACGTGGCTTATAATTGTACATTTGATGAAATAAAATATAGTTTTTATTTTTCTTGTTCATATAATGCTTCCATTTTAATATATATGAATCACTTTTAGGTCTTCAACTTTAAAGCAATGATTTTAAGAGACTTCTAAGTCTTCAACTCTAGTCCTCATATATTCTGAAGTATTATGGTGATGCATTTTATTTGATTTTAGTAATCATATAATACATTATTGACAAGTAGAAGACATTAATTTGTTAAAATTTCATGAAAGATATTCAGTTTAAACTAGTAAAAATTATTAAGTAGATAACCATTAATTTAAAATTCTACCAAATAACTTAAAAAAAATTATTTATTAAAAAAATGATGATTATTGATTGAGCCATAGCTTGTTTTTAGTAAAAGTTGACAAATTTATCTTTATATATATATAAGAGCAACTCGTGGCTCCTTACATGTTAATATAAGATGAAAATACAAAAAGAGGGAGGGAAGGAGGATCCCCATCCAAAAACAAAAAATACATTAAAATCCTAAGGGTTCTTCATTCCGCATATATATATATATATATCTGTGTGTGTGTGGGCGCGCGGGTGAGTTTGTGTTGGTGACTTAATATTAATTATGATATTATTATTAGCTTCATGAAAAATATTTAGGGGCATTACATTTCTAACAATCAAACTTTTATATTTACAAACATGCCACTCAAACCTTTGACATCACATCAAAAACACTTTATTATTAAATTTTTAAAAGTGAAATGAGTCTTTTGTGGTATGTATGATAATTTTCCCCTTTTTTAATAAATATCATGTTTAATTTAATATTGGAGAGATTTTGTCAAGTATAAACCAACCTTATGTGGGTTTTAGCTTGCCAATAAAGATTAGCCTTACATTTATTTACTAATCTTAAATTGTGAGTTTATAAATCACTAATGATAATTTGTATACCATTTGCTTAACTAGATCAATATGAAATTCGATAATATATTCCTTCAATTGTGATATAAATTATCATCATAACTAGTGGGCTATTTTTTTGTTGGGTATAAACCATAGATATTGGAATATTTCTAGCTAAATGACCAGATACGTCCTTTGAAGAATAATATGGTACCCCAAGAGATATAAATATTACCTTTAGATTTATGGGTGTGTGAAAACCAAAGGTTTTTCAAATATCTTACAGTTATAATATATAGCTTATTTTATCTTAGGTTCTGATGTCTCTACAAATATAAGCCATTGTTGTAAACTATATCTCGTGAGTTATGGCCCCCGAGAATACTCTCGATTAAATTATTGTCTTTTATTGTGCATGATTATATGGTAAGTGTCTTGAAGATTCATGTTTTAGAGCTCGGGTCAACGAATGGGTTTTAAAATCTTTAATCGGAATTGAAAGGTTATGATTATAAGACTAGTGACAACGTATCATGAAAAGGTCTAGGACATGGGTTAAACAACCATGAGAAGAAGATACACCTTGAAAATTGAAATTATGAATTTATTTGAAAAGAGTTTGACTTGTTTGATTTACTTGAGCTGAAGGCTTGTGTTGATTGAATTTGATTTCATTTTAAAACTTGATTTGAGCTAATTCGGTTTGCTTGATTTAGGGTTTATCTCAAGTTAAGAGGGTTGTTTGTTCAAGTGTATTTTGGAGTGTTTTTAAAGTTTGTTTGAAGATATTTGAAGTTTATCTATAGAGTTATTTAGAGTTTGTTTGAGTTTAAAGTTATTTGTGGATGCTTGAGGATTATTTGAAATTTAGATTTACTTGAATATGTTTGAAGATTTTTTTGCAATTATTTAGAGGTTATTAAGATTTTTTGCATCGTGTTAGTGAACTTTTTGAATAGCTAAGTGAACGATGCAATTGTCTCTCTTATGAATGTTACCCTAAATAAAATATTTTGTCAATAATAGTTAACTCCAAAAAGTGCACAAACAAAATTATGCTTATCGAGTTAATAACTTGTGTAGAAAAACTATGACATATCTGAAACAATATAGTAAATATGTCATGTCATTGCTAAAAAAGAAAATTGCTCAGTCTATCTAACACATGAAATTGAATATCTCATACAAAAAATATTTTATTCAACCGATCTTTTATAAAGTATTTGCATTATGACACTAATCACTTCATTATCAATTCTTTCTCTTTTTTAATATATTTAATACAACAGTTTTTTAAAAACCAATATTCTGTACTCACACCTCCTCGATAAGATACCTAGATGCATTGGTCGCTTTAGTTTTTACTTGTTTCATCGACTACACCACAACTGTTTTGTCTTCGGTGATGCCTCGTTGCGATCTCAAAACACATTGATTGCCCGACATTGCTAATGAATGATTGTGGACTTCTATGAATTTATTAATAGTTCAATTACTTGCAGCGGTGATGCCTCGTTGCGATCTCAAAACACATTGATCGCCTGACATTGCTAATGAATGATTGTGGATTCTATGAATCTATTAATAGTTCAATTACTTGCATGATTAATGACAGACATAATCATTGCAGGGCAACTAATCATAGTATCTGATTTCTAGAAGTTCACTATACTACTTATTTTGAGTATTTTCTTCAAAAGAACTTGTAATAGAAAATATTTTGCTTCTATACATCTTATGTTTGACCAATAATTGATTTGATTATTCCAAACACTCAATCTTATTTGGTATGCATAATTGAAATATAAATCATTTGCCTCATTTTTATTATGAGCAATGATGTCCAAAAAATGTTCTATAATTGGTTTAAAATTCATAAGAATTGTATCTTTGTATGCATGTTTGGCCATTGGTACCTGCACATTGATGTGTTCATTACCCTTCAAAAAATTATTGTATAATGTGTAGAACGATTACGAGGAGAAAAATGCACCAAAAGCTAATATAAAATTTTACATGTCAGATAGGTAAATATTTGATTTTTCAGTGGTTATGTATGCAAATTCCCTTTAATTTTTTATCATGCCCAGTTATATGAGTTTCCCTAGGGGTGTAAACGAGCTAAACACGAGCTGACACGAGCTGAGCCCATGTTCGACTCATTTATATTTCAAGGTCAAAAAGTATGTTCGTGTTCGACTCGTTTGCTTAGAGAGCTGAATACGAGCCGTTCACGAACAAAAAATTGTTTTGACAACCTTAAACATATAACCATACAATATTTCGAGCTAAACGAGTTGAACTCCAACAACAAATATTTATTAGTGTCATTTGTGCTGATATGGTTAACTTAGCGAACTAGCATTTTTGACACCTAATTAAGCTTTTATCACGGCAAATGTACTCGTTGATACCCTCAAAATCCATTTGACGCCCGCCCCGTCTCCCCCACCGTTCCTCTCCCGCCAGCCCTCAATTCGCATTTCCCCGCGCCGCCGCTGTTGTTCTCTACTATCACAGTTGCGTCATCCCGTCCTCTTATGGACCCCTCTTGCTCCTCTTCCTTACCATCCACCACCCAACCTCTACCCTATCACACCGTTCTTCACCCTGAACCTAACCACACTTCCGCTGATCTTCCTTCCACCATTGCCCTCATCCAAAATCTGACAACACTCGCTGAATCCACCATCGATTCTATTTACGAATTTCTCTCTTCCACCCCTTCCTCTTCATCCGCCGCCAGCTACGTTGGTCGCTGCCCTTTCGACTCTCGTCACCTCTTGCCGCCGGAGTCCCTCTTTCGCCATTCCCTCACCTGCTCCTCCGCCCCTGGATCGCGTCTTTTGGACCTAGGCTTTCTTGATAACTTACATTACCCAAAATCACTCAGGTCCGAAGACCAGCTCCTGAAGGAGAATATCTTTGTCCGTCCCCTTCCTGAAGCTGAAGCGGACATCTGCTTCTCTCTTGAGGGCGAGCTTGGAGAAATCTATTCGAATTTCTTCTATAAGGACTGCCCTGGCGTTGTTACTTCTCCTGAGCCGAGCGCAACCTGCAGAACCTTTACGCTTCCTGCTATTTTGTCCTCCGAGTGCGCCAACTTTATTAATGAACGCTGCGAAGGAGGCGGAGATTTGGAGCATAAGGTTGGGATTCTTCCATCGGATTTGTTGGCTTTGAGATCTGAAGTTGAAGCGTGGAGTAACTTTCCTGCTGCATATTCTCATAGAGTTCTCCTTGTTGCTGTGCATATGCACAGGGCTGATGAATTTAGTTTGAAAAGATGGATAATTATGAACTCTCCTAAATTTGGGATCTTGATTGATGCGGCAATGAGGGATCATGCTTTTTTGCTTCTGAAGCTCTGCCTGAAAGTAGTAAGGACAGAAGCAGTTTGCTCTCTCAAGTTGTTTTTGGAGAAAAAAGGGTTTTTGGATCCAAAGGTTGTTAGATTTGAGTGCCCGCAGTTGGTTAGCAGCTTAACATGGCTGGCTTCTCAAATTTCTGTTTTATATGGTGAAGTGCATGGAAAATTCTTTGTGATGGGAATGCTGAAGGAGTCCTTCCTGTTTGCTGGAAGATGTTTGATGTTGTTTAGGAGGGAGGACAAGAATATCATCACTGGTAAGAAAGTGGTAGCAAGTCGTTCTGAGTGTAGTGGTAGTGAGCACAAATTGGAACTGTCTAAACCTGCAGGTAACATGGAGGTCGAAGTCCACAAACTTTCTGAAATTTCAAGCTGCGACAAAGTTTTTGTCTCTCAAGTTGCGTCTGCAATTGCTGCATTGCATGAGCGATCCTTGTTGGAGCAAAGACTTAATGCGCTGAGGTTTGCCGTACCACTGCCGAGATTCCATCGGTAACTTTGCCTCTTGGTCTATCCTCATTTATTATTTTATATAACTTAGTTCTCAATTTCTAACGATGTTTGTGTAGCCATCCTTAGGTAGAAACTAGGCTAAAAGAAGGGATAAATGATGTTGCCAGATTTGTCTGAAAACGTGTGGTTTTTTTTTTGTGCATTTTAAGTGTGGCTAGTGATGTCCTCTTCACTGACATATCCAAGCCTAAATATGGTGATATAATTCTTTTCTTGGAGGATTTACATACATACCATTCAATTCCTATGAATTTACATATTTAACACCTAAAATTCGATTTTTACATACAGGCTTCCTCACCTATGCCTGAAAATGTGTATTTCACCTTTTAAACGTTAAAATGGTGATATTTTTTATGTGATTTGAAAGATTTGGTCTTGTTACTGTACAAAACAAGGTTTGGGTGTTAGAAATGTAAATACATAGGATGGGTGATATGTTTGTCAATATCCCTTTTTTCTTTGGAGAAAATTTTTAAGAGATGAAAATTTTCTTTATTGTTGATGAGCAAGACAAGGAATCTGTTAAGGGTGGAAATATAGATAAGAGTTTTGGATGCATTTTTGAAGAACCATTGTTTTCGCTTCTCTCGGTTGTCGTTTTAAGGGATTTTTTTTATATTTTTAATTAATCACCAAAAAGCTGGGTTGCATCTTTGAAATAGAGAATTATGTCTTAACCCATAATTTCTAGGACTTTGAATGTAACTTATCAGTAGATTGCTTGGCCATGATGATGCTGTGAGAGCCAGATTGCTTAGGTCTTCTAACAATTACTGTGTGAGCAGATGTTTGATTCGATATGGTTATTCAAGTATTGAGTGATAGTGTAATATGTTATGGTAATATGTAGATTGGAATTGATCTCCCTAAATACTGTCAAAATGATACCGGTCATATTAGGTTGTGGTTTTCTGGCTATATTATAATGTTGCATAATTAATTCTAAATTGTGTAAATAATTTTTAAAATGATATTGTTCATATTAAAAATCAAGAGTTCCTTGCAGGTCATAACTTGAGCTCCTGTTAGTTGATGAGTATTCAAGTCCTTAAATATTATAAAATGAAGCACCATCTTACCTTTTAAGCTTATTTTAATATTGATAGATTGTTGGTTCTTTTTAGGGACATGCAAACATAGGAAACCATAATTGTGTTACACGGGCAATGCTTGAGCTTACTAATACCTTTATTATAGGTTTATCACAATAAAAAAAATTCGATCAAACATTGCAAAACTTTCTAATGTATTGTTTTTTGAGCTTTAATTTTTTTTCTCATTTAATTTATATTTCCCACCTTCAAATCTTTATTGCATACCCTCTTTACTTTATCTGCATTACTACAGGCAAAAATAAAAAAAATTAACTGTTCAATGATTAATATGCATAACTTTGCATAAATATATTATTCGTTAGATATGAGAATTAAAGATAATACAAAGATTCTTGCTTTTAGTGAGTTGGGCATGCTGAATGCATGGAGCTCCCATTGATGTCAGTTCTAGTGAGGGATTGACAACACAACATTTCTATTGTGTTTGCAGTGAGGTTATCTGTAAGATTCACCTCTAAATTACATTACGACAGTTGCTCCAGGCTTGCCTTCCCTGTGGCAAACAAGATAAATTGCCAAAATACTACTATTTAGGAAATCCCTAAAAAAGGTATTTTGTTGGAAGTTTACCAGCTTTTTAAGATTATTTATTGTCCGAAGAGCTGAGCTCATAATTTATAATTTGACTTGTTGGTGCTTGACATAATGATTGCATGGATGCTCACAAAAGTTTACTTGGTAAACCTCTACCTTGCATGCTCTTTTGAGTATAATGATAAGAATATAATCATCATTGTGCCCTATGTTGATAACTTGAGTAAAGTTATTCAATGTTCTTCATATAATGACAACGTGCAGTTATTTAAATGAATCATTTGACCTCTTGGTTGAATTCTGTCTCGTCGATTGGTTGTTCCAATCCAATAAATATGTTTTTATCGTTTGTGTAATTACTTTTCCTATAGAATTTACTTGGACAATTACAACCATTTCAACTTAAAAAATAAGTGATTTATCAAGAATTATGAAATGTCTTTTCATCAGTAGTTACAGTTGTCCATTTTCTATCAACAATGTCACACCTTTAACATGTCTAGAGGAATGCAAAATCACAGGAATACAACAGGCCAGCCTCAGTGTTTTTTGGATCCGTGAATTCCTCTCTCTAAGTCTACTTTCTGCTACTATATACTTCAAGTTTTACTTTTCTTCAATATTCGAAAATGTCACTGTCCCTTTCTGCATTCTGCTACTTAAATGCGGGCCTTAGTGTTGTGCTCTTTTTTTTTTATGTGGTTCACACTCAGTGATGTGAAAGCTTCCATGTGAGTTTATTGATTGAGAGTTACTTCTGCTGCAGGCATCTTGATTTTCCATTTTAGGATCTACTTTGTTTACTTTATGAGTCATATCTAAAATAAATGCGGATAAGATTATGCAATGTTATCCTTTTTTGTTGACAAGCCACAATTAGAAAAAGGAGCGGAATAGAAGTACACTTGGCTTTCAAAGGATCCCAACTATTCTATTAACCAACTGAAGTTCATGTCCGGATGTATTTTGCTTTGGCTCTTTTTCTTTATCCTTCTGAGTTGGTTCTATCCAAAGCATATCATTTATTTTTAAAATACTAAGAAACTTCCGTTTCATTTTCAAAGCCTCATGTCAACTTTTACTTTAAATTTTATGCAGATAACCTAAAGGGTGGTTTTTACATGTTTTCTATTCTCCAGGTTAAATGAATATATATCTACATCGATTAGGGCATCTCAGGAACGAGCAAAACGTTCCAACTATAGAGCATTATTGGAGCATGATGGACTTCTTTGGCAGCGCCCTAACAATCCGGTGAATTGCGTTGTTATGTTTTTGTTTTCTTATAATTTACTGCCTCTTGGATTTAACTTGCTTTGGTTCTTTAGTTGTATGTCACCTTATTAACTATTGCACCACCTTATTTACAACATTTTATTTTCCACGTGTAAGAGAGAATGATGACATTTTGAAATCATTGTTACAAGTAAATAACCTTTAAGTCCCTATACAATGGCCCTAGTAGCACTTAATTCTTGATTTTCACATTTTTTAAATTTAGGCTTAGAAATGTTGCAATAAATTAATTCAACTCTTTATGTCTTATTCTTAAGCTCTTTTTAGTTGCAGGCACAAAGATAATTGTTTTTATATCTCTTTAACTGGGTATGTTATTCCAATAGACATTCATTATGACTTTCGTATGTGAAACAGTTCATTGAACTTTTGCCAATGTGCTGTAATTGCTTGAATGAATAATAAAGGTCATGGTATATGTGGAGGGAAGGCAAAAAACAAAGCATATACCGTTTTACTAGAGCTCTATGAATTAACCGTTTTATAAGAGTTGGCTTTTATAAGAATTGATGAAATGATATAAATTTGTGCGCACAACAAATTTAACAAGTATAGATTGTATTGATTTTTTTTTAATTTTTTTTGCAAACTATTTATTTAAAAGTAGAATTAAAGTTTCCTAGGCATCTATCACTTTTGTTTTTTAATAATACATGTTTTTATTTATTTGTTCTGTTGGCCAATGACCCAAATTTCACACGCTTATTGAAGTTTGGATTGTTTTGTTTTCCAAATCAATGGTGTTTAACAAATAGGTCAGTTTACAAATAAACTAATTATGCATTTACTTATTCTCCTGAATGTATAAAGCTATTCTGCATTTGGAGCCTGAAAATTGGGGACACTTGGCTTTTGTCATGACGTTTTTAAGGTATCTCAAAAATTATAGATCAGATTCCACACCAATTTGGACAGAATGTTAGAATTTCAGAAAGGGAATGTGAAATAGGCAACTATATTACAGAATGATTAATCTGAAGTTGTAGAATTAGAGAAAAATTAGAGGAGCTAATGATATACAGTTTTGCCAATAATATGAATTAATTTGACAAAATTATGTTGCACAATATTGTTAAGGAACACTGTTTCCATTTTGTTATTTATACAACAATCAAGAGAACTGTTATAGGACTTCCTCATCGACTGCAGTATGTAACTATGTGGTGAGAAGCGTTTAAAGTTGACTTATGCTTACTGAATGATATAAAATCTATGATAGAACTTAAAATGGATATTTGCACAACTTCTTTGGTGGCTATGGGCCCATAAATCCACCAGTTAATTTGGGCGGTCGTTAACAGAGGTATTGGCATGAGGAAAATGCTAAGATGCCTTTTATTTATATTTAGACATCAGGAAGAATTGGGAAAGTGGTAATTTGGAGAATTTATCACATGAAAATGAAAACTTATATGCTAACCAACAATGTAATGATATAAAACAATTTAGTGGTTGCAAAATTATTTTAAACCTATGGATACTATACATGTGAATGGTTTCATTTTTATGTAGTTCAAAACTGCGTGGTAGCAATTGTTGTTTGATTCAACTACTTCTTGATAATATTTATGTTTACCTGTATTTTGGTTTAGCTTGTTGCCTTTTTCTTGTTACATCGTGAAATTATGCAATCTTTTAGGTACTTGAGTAGTAGTAGTATGTTGATTGAATCTATGACCTTATTTTTTTAACCTCTTTCCTTGTGCTATTCAGGAATTTGGCAAGTCAAAAACTAGAGAAGAGCTATTGGCTGAGGAAAGAGATTATAAACGGAGAAGAATGTCATATCGTGGAAAGAAGTTGAAGCGAAATACAACGCAGGTATGAACAAGTTCTAAATTTTCATGCGAAGTTGGCTCTTATCTTATGGGTTGTTGTGTCAAGACATATTGGACTTGGCATTTAGTCCAAAAACAGATAGCTGAAAAATATTTCGATATTTGAAATACTAAAGCTCCATTTGAGACAACTTTTACTACATTTGTGATTGGGAAAACAATAAAAAAATATTTTCTGTTTGGATGGAAAATCTGTACGGCTTTTCCTTGTTTTTTCCAAAATTTGATTTTGAAAAGCTGCTTTTGGGAAAACAAAAATAGAAATTGAGGTTTTAGATTGAGTTTTATTTCAATCTTTTCTGTTTTCAGGTTTTACATGACATTATTGAAGAGCACATGGAGGAAATCTACCTGGCAGGAGGTATAGGTTGTAATGTGAAAATGGCTTCAGAAAATACTTTTCTCCCAAAATTTGAGAGTGAAAGAAGTAAAGGCCTTGAGCTGCGGTGCAGTTCAAATGATGCATATGAGGCTAAAATGATGAAAGAAAAAACTCATGAGCATGATTCTCTTAATGATGGATCAAGCACCGGATCTTTACGAAAGGCCCCTCATGAAACTCGTTATGAGTTCTATGATGATCAACATAAATTGGAGAAAACCAAGCGAGAAACACTGAACTATCGTTCCAGAAGCCCCTCATATCACAGTGGTTATTCTCATTCAAGGGATAGATATTCAGAGCAGACGGATCAAACAAATTGGAGGTCAACTAGAGATAAGTATGAAAGGAGAGGTTCTAACTATATGTCTAGTTATAAAGATTACGATAATAGATCAACTTTGACTTCAAAGTCTCACGAAGCTACAAGATTTGAGTACAATTGCACACTACAATCTAGAAGAAGATGTGGCAGCAGAGCTTCTGAGAAGCAGCGGACGGATTCCAGCAGAGTGGATATGTTTGAGGACAGATATGAACCTTCTCGTTCATATGACAGTTCTGATACCTTTTATGAAGTGGATTCTGGAGGAAGCCATTATCTCCAGCCACAAAAGCCTGTCAGCCTAAAAAATGATAGTGAGCATCATTACAAGAAATAAAGCAGCAAATCTCATTACCATGTAAGTATTTTGATGCTTTCTATATTATGTACTAATATGAAGAGGGATCATTTTTTTTTTCAAATTAAGATATAGAATGTGTCTGTTTTAAATTCTTATACATGACTTTTTGAATGTTTAGTTGTTTACTGTGAGCTTTATTTTATTTTATTTTTGATAAACCAGTGGAGTACAATCTAAACCAGCTTCAGGATATTTTCTTCAGCTGTATCCTCCTATGTATCCTCTACTTTTCTTCTGCTTTTGATTTGCGTTCTTCATTATGTTCTTTCCCGTTGTTTCTGTGCAAGTACTGACGTTGAATGTTTCTCCTGTTATATATAAATACATCATATGCTTTTTCATTGTTATTAATTAATTTTAGCATTTGAACAATGACTTGCCGTCTGTTTGGATTCCAGTTCTCAGTCCTTAAAAGTTTCTTTGCATTACTTGTTTGCCTTCACGACCTTCTATGATAGATTGATATCCTAAAGTTTTTATGTTAGCAGAGTATCATAAGAATATTCATAATCTATTGCCTGCTAGATTAAAGTTAATGATCCTCTTTAAAAGAAAATCAATTCAGGATTTTAGACTATTGCTTGAAAGTCTTGTTGTCATTGCAAGCTTATTATTTCAAGAGGTTGCATGATCTATATATATTTTTAGAATGGGATCCTCTACTCTTTGTGCAGGATCCATCCAATAACTTGGCAAAACTTCACCAAAGAACATGACAAAAATCTAAAGTACTTGTCCAAGTCGATGCCAATTTTATGGAAAATGTTACTTTTGTTGACAATTTTTTTTTAAAATTTGAATTTAATTTTGTCCTGCTCATAATGCCCAATTGAATTTTTTATTTCTTGTTTTTTTTTTCTGTGGTCAACTTTTTGTGGATATGGCTTATGGATCCCACTTTGGGACTGATTGTTTTCTCTTTTCCTTTTCCTTTTGTTTGGCACTTGATGTTGATATTTGACTTCTGCCCAACAGTCTGTCACACTGTAGCTAACCCCTTAGAATGTCAATCAATGGTTTAGTAGAAGGGGACGACTCAGTCAAATACAATTATCACCAATACTCGTTCTAATTTGTAAAAATTAGGAGTCAGTGGGTGACAAATTAAGCACATGATTTTCTTTTCTGAATTGATGGGCTGTATTCTACAATACGTAGAAATTTTAAAAAATACAAATTCATACTGTAAAAATTAGGAGTCAGTGGGTGACAAATTAAGCTCACTTAATTGCCACAAATATAAAAAATCCAATTCAATTCACCATTCTTTCATATTCGTAACACAAGGGCAATATGAATGATAATTTCACAAAATATAACAAAGCTGTTAAATACCAAACATATAAAAATATATATTCCAAAAGTCTTCATAACTTTTTCAAAAATTTTGATTGTTACCCCTCTTTGGAAAGCAACAACATACAGGAATAGTTTACAAACTCAATGAAATAATCACTGCAAAAGTAAGTTTTTGTAAATGGAAAGTAAATAATGTGCATGCTTAATTATGCCTAATATGAGTGACAACAATACATAATAAACATATTTTAAGCACGATGAATATGTAAATAATGTTATAAAAATAATATTCAATAAAAAAGTGTAATAATAATCTATTTCATTCACTCCTCGCACAATCATATTAACTTTTTTAATTGTTTCATACTTAATATATATCGCCTTAAGAATATCACTTGTATTTGATTAAACTTTGATTTAATTCATTTATTGGGTCGTCACATAGCCGGTTAGCTATAGCATTCATTGATAAAAAATATTTTTCTTTCAACATATCAATTATCAAGGACTGTTACCAAAATGGCCGTTCCTGTCTCAATATCAAAAGTGAAAATTTTGTAATTTCACAGCCGTCTCTATCTGCGCATGTCATCAGTACATAGTTTACTTATCATAATATTTGTGACATATCCTTGATTATTTTACATGTTACAAATCATTTCTCATATGAAGTTATAGTTTTATAAGTGTACTTGCTAGTAAATTAATTAATGAATATGTCAAATGATATAAGAAAATTAGTAAAATGAGTAATGCCTATTCAAATTTTACTTTTTAATAACACGAGCAAGTATTCTACAATATGTAGAAATTTTAAAAAATACAAATTCATATCTATATAACTTCCAAAATAATTACTACCCCAAAAAATATCTCAAAACTCTCTATCCCATCAATATTTTACATAAAATGAAATTTCTAAATTTAAATCTTACCTCAAATAGCAAATTTGTCCCTAAATTCCACTTCCCTTTCTCCCTTCTCCCTTCTTTCATTGTGCTTATTTGTTTTTTTTATTCCTTTTCTGTTTTCTACAAAATTTTCCTATATGTGAGCCGTGTCTCTAAGCTCTCCGTTCTCTGTCTTCCCGCGAGGAGGAATAATATCGAGGATGAAAATTGAAAAAATCAGAGAATGAGTCATACACACATGCACGCGCATGCACACACTCGCACACACACATACGTACACACATACGCACACACACACATGCGCGCGCGCGCACCCTTGCACCCGCACAGGCTCACACAAATTAATTTATTTAAAATTAAGTTAAGAAACTAAAAAAAATCAATCTTATTAGAAAAAGAAATCAGAATTTGAACAAGGAACAAAAAGAAAATCTAATTGAGCCTCCGACAACAAAGATGCAAAATGACGGACGCACTACATTTAAATAAAATGGACGCGGGATTTGAAGCTTGGAGAGAAATGAGGGAGGAGAGAAACACACCTAATAAAAAATAGAGATAAAGGAGAGATAAATTAAGTTATATTAATGGGATGCACAACAAACACATTAATTTATTCAAATGAATTCCATGCACCAAGTGCACTTGTTAAATGATAAATAACTGAATTTTAACGTTTCAAAATTTAATTCCATTGGTTTCAGTGGAAATTTATGAAAAAAATGATTTCCATGCTTAATGAAAGTTAATTCTATCGGTTTCAGATAGAGAGAACACTTAGAAATTTAAAGTGCCATGTTAATTTTATTCTTTTTTTCGTATTTCATATTAAAAATAGAGTTTACGTTTAGAAACACAGAGAACATCTCAATATTTTATGTATATAGTGAAACAACAACAACAACAAGCCTTTATCCCACTTAGTGGGGTCAGCTACATGAATCGTTTTTCTCCATTTTGTCCTATTGAGTGTTATATTTTCATTTAGTTCTACTAAATTAAGATCATTTTTTAGACAAGCCCAAGTCTTTCTAGATCAACCTTTACTTTTTTTAGCATAAATCAAATCTATAACATCTACTCTTTTAACCAGATCATCTAGTGGTCGATGTTTAATGTGATCAAACCATCTAAAGATGACTCTCTGTAATATTGTTTGCTAGAGGAGCTACACCAGCCATTTCACGGATACATTCGTTTCACATTTTCTCTAAGTGTCAAGTCACTCATCCATTTAAGCATTCTCATCTCAGCAACACTTAACTTGGTTTTATCCTTCTTTTTTAAAGACTTACATTCTGCGCCATAAAACATTGTAGGTCTCACCACCATCTTATTAAATTTTCATTTAAATATAAGCGGTACTTTTCTATCACACAATAAATCCGATGCATTCTTCCACATCAACCATCCAACTTAAATTCTACTAACATCCCCATCTATATCACCATCACTTTGAACAATAGACCCGCGGTATCTAAAACATTCACACCTTGTAATGATTTGATCATTCATTGTTACAACTCTACCACTAGATCTATTATTATTAAAATTACATTCCATATATTGAGTTTTAGAGCTACTCAAATGAAGGCCTTTAAATTCTAATGTAGACATCTATAATTCAAGTTTTCTTGAACTCATTCTCTAGTCTCATTCACAAAAATGATATCATCAGCGAAAAGCGTACATCGAGGTACATCCTCCTGTAAATGTCCAACAAGAGCATCCATAACTAAAGAAAAAAGAAATGTGCTTAAAGCCTATCCCTGATGTAATCCAATTGAAATAAGAAAATACTTGGTAAATTCTCCTTTTTTTCAAACACAAGTAACAGCCTCGTATACATATCTTTAATTATTTTAATATAATCCACATGAACACCTTTCTTTTCCAAAACAATTTCTCTTTGAACCTTATTATAAGCTTTTTCTAAATCAATAAAATGCAGATTGTCCTTACTCTCTCTGTACTTCTCCATCAAACCTCTCAATAAATATATAACTTCCATAATAGACTTGCCTGACATTAATCCAAATTGTTTATGAGAAATCTTTGTATCACGTCTTGACCTATGTTTAATTATTCTCTCCCATAATTTTAATGATGCCCGATTAACTTAATTCCTCTATAGTTTGCACACTCTTGTGCATTACACTCTTGTGGTGCATTCCCTTTATTCTTAAAAATAGGGACCAAAATACTCTTCCTCCACTCTTCAGACATTTTTTTAGTTTTAAAATAATATTAAAAAGTTATATTTCCACACTTCTATTGGGATATCATCATGTTCTATTGATTTTCTTCCCTTAGTGTTTAAAATAATATTAAAAAGTTTATTAAGTTAATAATTAACTTCTTTATGAACATACCAAAACTTGAAATCTTAAAGTTTATTTATAAAATTAATTTTATTTACGTCTTTTGGTCCCCATCTAATTTTTTGATAAAATTTCATTGTATTTTTTATCTTCCAACTCTTCATTTTCAAACTCAAAATTAATAATCGATGTTTAGTATTTAAATTTTTACGTGGAATGACCCTACAATCTTTATATTCTCGACAACCTCTTTTTTTAATAAAAAATATTCACTGTGTTTTATTAGATTCATTCTTTTGAGTAATAATATGCTCAATCTCTTTTCTTAATTAAATTTTTAGCAATAACAACATCATAGGGTACAAAAAAATCTAATACGACTCTGTCTTCTTCATTAATATATCCAAAATTATAATCACCATGAATACTTCTAAAATCTTCAACCACTCCACCACATGATCATTTA